CTCTCTCTCTCTCTCTCTCTCTCTCTCTCTCTCTCTCTCTCTCTCTCTCTCTCTCTCTCTGTGGGGGTATGACGGGAATGAATCTTCCCTCTCTCTCTCTTTCTCTCTCTCTCTCTGTGGGGGTATGACGGGAATGAATCTTCCCGCGGGAAGATTCATTCCCGTCATACCCCCACAGAGAGAGAGAGAGAGAGAGAGAGAGAGAGAGAGAGAGAGAGAGAGAGAGAGAGAGAGAGAGAGTGGCGGCGAACTGGCTGGGGCCCAAGGGCCAGTTCGCCGCCAGTCTCTCTCTCTCTCGCGTGCGCGCGCGCGCACGAGGTGTGTACAACTCTCCACATGCGCGAAAGACAAATCATGGCCGTGTGTGTTGCCATGTTCTAGTGGAAGATTCATCACTCTCGTTTTGACGAGAGTAGTGGAGCTTTGCCCTCTCTCTCTTTCTCTCTCTCTCTCTCTCTCGCGCGCGCGCGCGATCTACGAAACCAGATCCATTTTCTTTCTTTGTTTTTTTATTTTTTATTGTTGTTTTTTTTTTCCTTTTCCTCACTGCAGGGATTTCAAAGTGTGTTGGTAAGGCACGCAAGTGGCATTCAGGAGGTCGTGGGTTCAATCCCCATTGGCCTCATGTACCTTCCTGGGCATGCTTGGCGCCTGCCACCTAGAGATAGACCACTGGATCCCCCGATCGGCATTGAGCAGAGTTTGCTGATGTTCATAGGGGAGGGGACCTGAGGGGAGTTCCCTGATGCTACTGGCTGTCCCCTAGCCGGTATCGCCCACCTGCAGGTCGGGGGCAGCCCCCGCATGTTCTCTCGTGAACACGGTTCTGGCTGCTACGGGGTTCCCCGTATGCCTACAATTAGGAGTAGTGGTAGGTAGGTAGTGTGAGGTGAAATTGAGAGAAGAACATCGCTTAAAAAAAAAAAAAAAAAAAAAAAAAAGTGTCATCCCGCAGAAGGTGGTGCCCGACCTTGTAGCAACAACCGGGCCTTCCCTTGGCCGACCCCCTCAGGCCACGGCGCGTTAACGGGGAAGGCCCGCGGCCCATGTATGGGCCAAAGGGTGGCGGTTCCATTCCATTTATCTGTGTCATACACGGATGGATCTGAGGCCAAACGGCATACTGATCTGTTCTCAGCTGAGTGCAAGAAACCTGTTTGAACTTACTAGAATGCGGTGGCAGAGGGGGCTCGGTAACAGGCCTGGAAATTGCACTAGAATGTGGTGGCAGTGGGAGCGTGGGGGATGGCTCTGGGGGATTGGTGAAGGCTGTGGGGGCCTGGCTCTGTGTGGAGATCATGCACTGTGGCCTAGAGCGGTTTCATGCCTGATAGAGTGATTATAGACACTTTGCAGCCATGTGGAGGGGAGGGAGCGTGGGATGGGGTTGGATGTGATGATGGGTATGGCTACACTTTAGTACACCGCATCATGGCTGCAGCAGTTAAGATGTTGGCCTTTGAAGGCCCAGCATATCCGAGCGTCATTTTGCCATGACAGATTCGCACTGTACGCCAAGCTTTGCCGAACCGCTAGTGGCGCACTTTCTTTTCCTTTTTTGACGGGTACCGCCAGCCAAGTGCCCAAAAATTTTCGAGTGGCTTGACTTTGATTCTCAAGTTTGCCTGGGCGATTGACTGGCGGTCTCTTTGCCCAGGCCCACTTGCCTGGACGGGCCAAAAGGAAATATATATATATATCGTCAAATAGAACTGCCCGGTAAACCGTATATATCGTCACAATTCGTTTGTTGTCCTCTTCTCTCTCTCTGCGTACGGTTTACCGCGCAGTTCTGTTTGTGACGATATATATATATATATATGAAACTCCGACGAAACAGTTTGTCACAGCCCCTCGTTTGTTGTCCTCTTCTCTCTCTCTGCGTACGGTTTACCGCGCAGTTCTGTTTGTGACGATATATGCTACGACTTCGCTAGCTTCCTGCTACGTTTTTTTCCGGTCAGGTCGAGCGGCAGTGGTCGGGGCCGTTACTAGGCGGCCATGCTGTGCCTCTAGTGCCAGCGGCGTGTCTGGAGTGTATTTTTTGGCTGTGACAGACCTTTCTTTGTTTCGTGGATGTTTTGCTGGCTTGTGATGGGGTGTGAACCGACAGTCTGTAGAGTTTTCCATCTGGTGTGGGTGAGTGATAATCTACTTTGATTTTGGTTAAGGTAGATTATCATTTACAGTTTAATCAGTGAGGGGATTCTGCAGACTGTTGAGGGTTCAGCCTCCTGATGAGTCGGTGAAACTCCGACAAAACAGTTTGTCACAACCCCTCGTTTGTTGTCCTCTTCTCTCTCTCTGCCTACGGTTTACCGGGCAGTTCTGTTTGTGACGATATATGCTACGACTTCGCTAGCTTCCTGCTACGGTTTTTTCCGGTCAGGTCGAGCGGCAGTGGTCGGGGCCGTTACTAGGCGGCCATGCTGTGCCTCTAGTGCCAGCGGTGTGTCTGGAGTGTATTTTTTGGCTGTGACAGACCTTTCTTTGTTTCGTGGATGTTTTGCTGGCTTGTGATGGGGCGTGAACCGACAGTCTGTAGAGTTTTCCATCTGGTGTGGGTGAGTGATAGTCTACTTTGATTTTGGTTAAGGTAGATTATCATTTACAGTGTAATCAGTGAGGGGATTCTGCAGACTGTTGAGGGTTCAGCCTCCTGATGAGTCGGTGAAACTCTGACGAAACAGTTTGTCACAGCCCCTCGTTTGTTGTCCTCTTCTCTCTCTCTGCCTACGGTTTACCGGGCAGTTCTTGTTTTTTTTGTTTTTTATTTTAAAATTTGTAAAGAAATTCGATGTGACCGCATAACATTGTTTGTTTTTTCGGATTTTTGTAGGCTACCAGCCGGGCCGCCCGGCTCACCCTATCCCGGCCGTGCAAGGACTAAAGAAGTTCCCACCCAACTTCCCAGCCAAAAAAAAAATAAAAAAAAATCCAAAAAATCCGAAAAAAAAAAAAAATGTTATGCAGAAAAATAAACTGAACAACTTTTGCCTCAGGGTCACATCGAAATTCTTTACCAAATTGGTCGCTGTTGATGCGTGTTCTGGAGACTTTAGTTTTGATGGTTTATTAATCCATACATGAAAGATAAACAATGATAACAAAGCCAATAGGCTCTAACTGAAAGCGGGCGTCGTGCCCATATGCATGAAGAACCGGTCGAGCGCTGGCGAAGACCCTACTATAGTTTCATCTGGTCGCCAGACCCGGAATCGTCAGGGGTCAAGTCAGCAACGGAGATGACTCTGAAATGTCGTTGGCGACTATTAATAGCAAACACAGACAAAACAATGACACGGAGAAACCAAGTAGAGCAACCAGGGTACCACGAAAAAGTACCATGAGAGCCAGGCGGGACTCCCAAATCGACACCCCAACCGGAAAACTACCGGTACCATGGGTTCGGCAAAAGATCCAAGGCCGCGTGAAACTACACCCTAGTCTAGCCTAAACCCCAAAGGCAACCCTCCGTATTACGGTCGAAAGAGGGCCCCCGCTACATCTCACATAGCCGTCCCCACCCCGTGAAGCAGCTGACCCAGTCATCCCAACACCCCCCAAATTCCTTGAAAAGTTGCACAAAGCAATGTCGAACCAATCATCGGAAAATCCTCGCAATCGCAATTCAACTTTCAAGGATAGCAAGAAGGAGCCCTCTGCTCCATCAAGATTGGTCAATCTTTTGGCCCGATGTAGAAACGAGCCAATGACAGCGAGCTTCTGCTGTTTGCTCGCATATGAACTCACATCCTGGAGATTTTGGAAACAGATCCCCCCACTCATCACACAGTCCTGGTTTTTGTGAGTTGCCGCACATTTGACCCCCATCGGCCAATTCAAATTCCATAACCTACACCCCAGGAACTCCCAGCCGCCAGACCTATCCGTACACTCCAGTGTTAGATTGTCATCGTAGGATCTCTCAAAACTTTTGAGAATCCTCTGAGCCCTACGAAATGACACTCCATCGTCTTCCCTGAATTTAACAAAAACTGACACATCATCGATAAGTCGGATTCCATGCACAAATCGTCTGTCAATTCCCAATGAAGAGATGAAGGAAAACTCAGAGAAAACGCATAATAGACAGGCAATGGCTGGAATCAACGGTTTGCCCATCGGGGCTCCCACATTTTGTTTCAGAATTACTGACATACGTATTGTCAAGTTCGAATTTCACAAAATCCAGAATAGCATCAAAACTCAGAGCAGACCAGTCCTCCCGTGCCCTTCCCTTCATCATCATCGCACCCTTCCCACGTTTCCTCAACAGGACCCCATTCACCCCAAATTGAACCCAAAAATCAATTAACCACTCTGTGGCCCGAACAATCGAAACATGCGGAAGATTGCAGAACATTTCTTTCACATCATAGGCGGCAGTAAGGAACTTCTCCCCTCAATTCAGATCTTTGTTGATGGCTTTGATACTCTCCGCAAGCTGGCAAGTGCTCTTCAAATTGAAGTGCGTTCTCTTTGGTAATTCCCAAATCATCTGATTGATGGTGCGAGACACCTTCCGACACCCTCTAACCCCGTTTTCACAGAACGATGGGCAGATCGGCCTCCACCGTCGAACGTCCTTGTGCTTAGGTATAGCATACGCTTGTCCCAACTTCCCAAGTTTGTCCCACTTCGCCACCTTCTCCAAACCCTTCGACCTATAGCCCACCTCTACCTCCCTTAAGAGGTCATCTTCCCTCTGATTAATCAGCTTAAAACCATCATTTTTACAGAAAAGTTTGTCCATGCCCTCTTGGTACAGGACCGGGCAGCAGACCAACGTGTCCCCGGGGTTATGGTCAACCGGCACTCTTACCAACCCCTCAAACTTATCTCTCCAAGTCAGAACATCATCCACTGAATAATCAGCCACCCTCTTACTCTTTCCCTGATTCACACATCCGGACAAGTGTTTTCGGGTGAAGCAAGGTACACCAAAATCCAACGATGTCAAAGAAGCAATCAGTTGCTGCCGCAGCCTGCCAGTAGCATCCACTTGTGAGGGTGCAGGAATGTTCTTATTGTTCTTCAGCCACTGCGGGGCCTCCTCAAGGTCTTTCAAACGAAAACAAACACGTCCATCGTCACGAGGGAAGGTCCTAGAAAACGACCCGCAACAACAGCCCATTTCCGGCAACTTAGCAAAGCACCGAAAATTAAAAATCAAATCCCCCACACTTTTATTTCGAAGCCATACAACCCTTATTCTTCTTGCCACCATCCCCTTCCACTCCTTTTCGACCTCAGCTGCCATAATCAGTTGAGCACAAAAGGCTCTAATCCCAGGCTTGCTCAACATATCATCAAAGGTTACTCGTACCACCAAACGTTGTCGCAAATTGACTCTGTATTTCCGTCGTGCTGCACTAGAAACAATCGATCGTAACGAGGAGCGTGATCATTTTTCCGAGAAACTACGGATTGCAAGAAAACTACGCACCATCGTCACCAGGTCCCATCCCAGCAACCCTCTTCGAGAAACAGGATTAGACAAAAAACCAACCAAAGATGGTTTGAGAACTAGATACTGACCAACTAGGAACACAATCCCCATGGCCGTGGGATTGGAAAGCCCTGCTCTGCCAAACGTGGATCGTAGAGGTGCCAGATAAATTCACCACCAACATGTTCAAATTAGGACGCAGGGCAGTGCTTTGGGCTCTTTGGAGACGGCGCTGCACTTATGAGATGGAAGAGACTAGATGGCCCTGAATTCACGGACAGCATTCAACAACAAATCCAAACTGAGATCACAGCAAAATGGGAGGCAGTCAAAGCCCAAATACAAACCTTATTCTCCAAACAGGACATTCAACTAAAAATACAACACTTTAGCTCAAGCTGGCTGGGAGGGGACAGAGGGGGAAGGATAGGAAGAGTGGAATGGAAAGGTGGACAGAAATCAGGAGAGGGTTTAGAGAGAGACTACCGACTACTGTTCAATGATTGGACAGATATAGATGCAGCAATCCCCATGAAATCTGCCCAAGAGTTCCCTTCCCCCTTCCCCCCCCCCCTCAAACTGTATTGTAGATTTAGAATGGTATGGAAGGGACTGAATCCGATCCCTCCCACTGGTCTGCAGCTTTGCGGATGGTGGGAGGGCGCCCTGCTCAGTCAATCCCCCGGAATGGTAGGAGGGTGGCTACAGATTCAGGCATCTAGAACATTTCCTGCTTTTTGTCGTTTTTCAAGTCCTGCTCAAAGTCCTGATCGGTCAAATCCCCGAGAACCCGGGGCAATCAATGTTGGCGGTAGAGTTGGGGTGGTATGGAGGATGACGGGAGGGAGCGCAATGGAAGGACAAGGCATTGGTGCTACGATCTGGGAAGGATTGGGGGACTCAACAACCCCCAGAGGAGGGGTCTGCTAGGTATATCTGTGTTATCTGACGGCCAAGTTGAGAGCTGAAGAGGCCGACGACTTCTGCTAACCATGTCTAAAGCCTGCTCAGTTAATCCCCTGGGAGACAGGGCAATCAATGCTGGCAGGCCCCATCTCTGCTCTTCTTAATTGGTTCTGCTCACAATCTGTATATGGGACGCTGGACCCGCTTTCCAGCAGGTGTTGCTCCCCACCAATAGATGGAGCCCACCCCTAGGTGCTAGTGATGTCTGCTCGTATCAGCAGCACTAGCACTGGCAGGGGCTGCGTTTTCCCAAAAAAAAAAAAGAAAAAAAAAAAAAGAAAAAAAAGAGAACAGAACGGAACGATCGATGAAATAATCAGGAACTTATCCTTCAAGAACCACCCATTAGCTTTCTTTAGGAGTTCACAACACCCATTGTGTTCGGCAACGGCGGAGCCAAACCTTCGTTTAATCACTTTCCATTGTTCAGCTATCCGGTCCCCATCCCTACAAAGGATCCCAACAGAAGATATCTTGCCCTCCAGGCAGAAATCAAGGATGCGCAGAAGACTGGATGATGTAATACCCACAGTAGAACAAAAATTCATGTGGACGTCAACCACAGACTTGCCTAGCTGTAGGCCACTACGAATCTTCCTTCGACAGCGCTCTCGCTTACCTGGTCTCTTCTTCTTCTGATGTGTGCTCTGATCACGGGTGTTCAAAAACGGATTCGTAATCCTAATCGTGTTCTTCTCCAGAGCCAAGACATCCTCAGAACTACACCGAAAGAGAGTGAGGCAGACATATTGCCCAATCCCACATCGTCTAAGCCAAGCATGCAGCCTATGGTTCCGCTTACCTCCGTCAACAACCTCGGAACAAACCGTTTTGTACACATGTTCATTCCATCGCACCTGCAGCGAACGGATAGTCGATCCAATGTATACATGCTTAGACAAAGGAGATACTAATAAATAAACCAAAGGACCATCACATGATTCTAGATCCAAACCCTCATCGGCGATACCCTGCAGATATCGGCGGAACATTTCAGTCCACGGGATAGCACCAACCAAAATCAATCGGAGCACAATCAGATGGAAGAACCCATTGAACTTCTTATCTCGTAAATACCTACTAATCAGGTCCTCAGATCTCTCGTCAGGACGCAAGGCAGAAACAGGCATACCTATCTCAGAAGTCCGTTTAGCAGTCACAGCAAGTGGGAGACAAGGGAGCGGCAGATTCCGAGAAGATACCTGAGACATTGGTGGAGATCGAAGAACAAGAAACAGATCGCTTCTCACGGCAAAACGCCGCCCAAGACCACAAAGTGGCCGCGTCCGGGAAGGCTTCCTATAGTTCAACAGACCAATCTCCTTCCGAGCTAGCGGCTCCATCCTCCTGACGCGTTCGATCCTCATCATTCAGTATCCGTACCAAAGATTCACCATCCGCTTCCTTGGGCTTGCCGAACGCCAGGTTCGCACGATGCTCGGCAAGTTCTTCAATCGCCTGTTTGACCGTAGTAATTCGAATCCCCGCTTCTTTGCATAGGGGTTCCAATCCAGTCTTCTTATACGCTCCGAGCTGCTTTTTCTGTTCCTCGATGAAAGCAAAGCGTCTGTTGATCGTTGACTCACCCGTCTTCTGTGCTCCTCTCCCCGGGGTCGCCTTCTTCCCTTTCCTAATTGATCTTCGAGCCGCCTCGTCCATTCGATCTTTTAAATTGGTCCCTTGCAATACCGGTTCATCCTTATTCGCCTGCAACTTACTCATCTTGTCCTGGAGTAACTTCAACTCCAATTCAGCCTTGATTTTTCTTTCCTTCAACATTTCTGCCTCCAAGTTCGTTACCCGATGCATCTCTTGCAGCTTCCTGTATTCCTCCTTCCATTGTCGGCTTCACGAATGTTGTCCGTCCACCTTGGTTTTGGAGTGCCTCGAAAGGAGACGTCCGGAGTGTCGATAGCAACACTCCCTCTCTTGTTACCGGGTCTCAGTGCTTCATTCCTCCACCTTGCTGCTTCATTGACCGCTTTCATACTTTGTCCCCTCATCATATTGACCTCAGTTCTCAGCCGGCAATCTCCTGCTCAAAATTGATCTTCACTAACGCCGTACCACGCAACTCCTCAATCTCTTTCTTCAAAGCGAACACCTCATCATCACCACATCGTTTTTCAACCATCTGTCGTTTCAAATCTGCCATCTCCCGTTGCAAACTGCTAATCCTATCCTCGCTGCATGATGTACCTTCACCAGTCAAACGCTTACGCAAGCTTTCGTTTTCCTTACGAAGCTGCAACAGTTCCTCATTCACCTTCTCACAACCAGCACCGTCCGTTCGATTCTTAGTACCACAGACCAACTCCATTCGTTTGTCGATTCGAGCGGCCATCTCAGCTTCGAGCTTCTCCCGCTCCTCCTTCCATTCTTTCTTCCGATCTTCCTCTTCCTTGAGTTTCATCTTACGCTCGTCTTCTTCTTTCTTCTTAGCCGCCTGTTCCTCGTCGGCGATGACTTTAGCATAACATTTGTCCAACCTCTCCTGATTGGTCTTCCAGAACCCGCCCCGCGGCTGACCTTGATAGTTTGATGCATAATTTGATGTGCTTGGATATACTGGAGCCGGAGCTGGAACCGGATTCGCATAACTTGGTGGAGGCAGAGCTAAAACCGGTGGCACCGCGGTGGATGGACCCGTAGGTATAGCATTAGCACCCGTCGCCGGAGGTCGAGGAGCAAAACCACGGTGTGGGCACTCACGCATATAATGATGAGGAGACCCACACGTGTAACAGGTACGCGAAGGCACAGAAGCAGCCATCAAGAAAACGGTCAAAGATCAAAGATGACGAATCACAGTCAAACGAAACACAGTCAAACGATCACACCCAATCATCACAATCAACCAGAGAACAGACAGCCAAACGAAGTCAGCAAGACAATTAATGACTAAAAAACAACGAGTCACACTCCGCTAGTCTAATCGCTACGGAGGTACCACCGTCGAAAAAATGATGGTTTATTAATCCATACATGAACGATAAACAATGATAACAAAGCCAATAGGCTCGAACCGAAAGCGGGCGTTGTGCCCGTATGCATGAAGAACCGGTCGAGCGCTGGCGAAGACCCTACTATAGTTTCATCCGGTCGCCAGACCCGGAATCGTCAGGGGTCAAGTCAGCAACGGAGACGACTCCAAATTGTCGTTGGTGACGATTAATAGCAAACACAAACAAAACAACTACACGGAGAAACCAAGTAGAGCAAGCAGGGTACCACAAAAAAGTACCATGAGAGCCAGACGGGACTCCCAAATCGACACCCCAACCGGAAAACTATCGGTACCATGGGTTCAGCAAAATATCCAAGGCCGCGTGAAACTACACCCTAGTCTAGCCTAAACCCCAAAGGCAACCCTCCGTATTATGGTCGAAAGAGGGCCCCCGGTACATCTCACATTTTTGCAGTCCCTAGAATGATAATGTGCTTTAGTAATAATCTCCTCTTTTCAGTTCTTTATCCTTCTTTTGTAGATTTATCAATATTATCTCATCTCCTAATTTTTCCTTCTGGTCTTTAAGGTATAGAAATGTACTCATTGATGCGGGAACGTCATTTTTTTGGCTTCTTCACTTAGTCTCCTCGGTTGTACCTTAGGATAATACAGGGGAGGGGCTCCGCCTCACAGAGTAGGAATGGAGACCTGTCGGCCCCTGAATATGGCTCTTTGTTTTTTTATCTTGTTCTGCCTTGGGCACTGGGCCCTTTTATTCATTTAAGGGGAAAAGAAGAAAAAAAATCTTTACCAAATTTCTGATCTTCTTCCAAAAAAAAAAAAAAAAAAAAAAGAAGTTTTTTACCAAATTTAAAAAAAATTTTAAAAAAAAAAAATTTTTTTTTTTTTTTTTTTTTTTTTTGGCCTGGCCGGGCAAGTGGACACGGGCCCCTCTGGTAGCCTAGGAAAAATACAATAAACAACATTTGCCTGAGCATTACATCCAAATTCCGTACCCAATTTGAAATTAAAATGTAATACAGAAAATAAAACATGTATCAAAATAAGAAAAAATGAAAAGAGAATTAAAATTAGTGATTGAGCGAGCACGTTTTTGACACTGCCATCTTTGGCGATTTTTAATTTTTGTTTGGCACAGCCAAATGCCCTGAAAATTTATAGACATGTACTTCACATAATAAAAAACTCACTAAAAAAGTTTCAAAAAATAATATATATTTTTTTAGGCCCCGCAATAAAGTGAAAACAAAAAGTAAAAAGTGAAAATAAATAAAATAGTGAGGGGAGAGAGCACGTTTTGACACCGCCATCTTTGGAGATTTTTTATGTTTTTTTTTGGCTTAGCAAACGGACTTCAAAATTTATAGGTATGTACCTCACATCATAGAGAACGCACAAAAAATAAATCAGAAAAAAAAAGGTTACTCTTAGGCCCCTAAATAATTTTGGGGGGGGGCGAACACCATCAGGTTCGGACCCCGAACGCCCGTACGTACAGAGGTCGGCCCGGGGACCTCCGTACGTACGGGCTGGTGACCCTGTATATATATATATAATATATATCTATACATATATACATATAATGTTATATGCAGGGTAACCAGCGTTCGGGACAGGCCGAACGCCCGAACCCGAACGCCCGAACCCGAACACCCGAACCCGAACGCCCGAACGTATGGGACCCCTTGGGGATGCGTTCGGCCGTTCGGGCCGAACGCGGACCCAGAAAGGAAAAAAAAGAGAAAAAAAAAATCAAACAAGATTCGCCTGAGCGTTACATCCAAATCCTTACCAAATTTGGAATAAAAATAAAATACGAAAAACAAATACTAAAAAATAATAATAATTAAAAAAAAATTAGTGAGTGTGCGAGCACGTTTTCGACACCACCATCTTTGGCGATTTTTCATTGTGTTTTGGCATAGCTAAATGCCCTGAAAAGTTACAGATGTGTACTTCACATAATGCAAAACCCACTAAAAAAGTTTCAAAAAATAATAAAATCGGTTAGACCCCGAACTGAAGTGAAAACAAAAAGTAAAAAGTGAAAACAAAAAATAAAAATTGAAAAAAAAACGTGGGCGAGCACGTTTTGACACTGCCATTTTTGGCGATCTTTAATTCTTATTTGGCTAAGCCAAATGACTGGAAACTTTATAGGTGTGTACCTCACGTCATAGAGAACTTCAGAAGTGTATCTTCATTTATCCAACAAACATCAGGAAAGATTGAGAACATGCAATACCCACAGAAACGCAACCTGCCAATGAAGAAGAAGAAGAAGAAGAAAATTGGGGAACAAACGAACAGCAAAAACACACTGTCCCACGGAGGGCAGAAAAATCCATTACAGATCAACAGCCATACACCATCAAAACACGCAATCCTCGACGCGTTTCGGCCTGGGCGTGCACCAAGCCTCATCAGGAGGACAACTATGGAGATAACATCTCCTTCATCCTTATATTCTCCTTCAATCTCCCTCTCTTCCCTCTGTCCTTCCTCTTTCTCTTCATACTTCCCACCCCTTCAGCCCAGGTCCATCCCCGACGTCGAAGATCGATCGCATCATGATCCGACATCATGTCCCCGCATCGCATCATCACTGGAGCCAGAATAGTAGAACTGATCCGCTGGGCGTTCCGCAGGCCCTCACATCTGCAAAGAGGCGGAGTTAGGAGCAACCTCGTGCGATATTTGCCTGATCTCCCCGGTGCGCGTCAGCCCACGGTGCCCAAAAAAATTGTGATTCCTGTTCTACAGGATTCGCCAGTCCCCAGACCCATACTGGGGCCTCAAAACACCAGCGCCCAAAGAAAAAAAAAAACCTGCATGGGATATCCTGTCCCTGGTCAGGCACGGTGTCCACATACATGTAGAACAAGACCAAAAAACACATTCCCCGTACCCAGCATTCCTGCTCATGCAGGCTAATTCTCCTCCCAACGGTTAGAAGTCCCGCCTATCCCGGGACCCAAAAACAGTCCCAAAAAGAAAAAAGAAAGAAAGAAATAAAGAAAGAAAAAAACATTATTTTCCTTTCCTTTTCTTGATCGGAAAGAACCGTGTGCCATAAGAGGCCGACCGTTGCAGGCAAACCCCTAGGACAACAAAAAGGCATCATGGGAGAAAACAGCAAGCAAAGACTCCAAAATCGAAAATGAGGAAAAAACCGAAAACAGCGGGGGTATTTTCCAGACCCTACAGTGTTCCCCGCCCCAAAAAAACCACCGGGGTCGTAGGGGGCAGTAAAGTGGCCTTGAAAAAGATTGCGCAAAACCCGGAGGTTGTACAACAGTTCACTTAGTTAATATACACACTTAGGTGGGGGTAAACCTGCGAGATCAAAGATCTCCAGGGACCATCCACCACCTTGGCAAACCTTGCCAAGGATGCGAAGAAGAAGAAGAAGTATAGAAGAGGAAGTAGCGACGCACAGAGTTACAATCCCGAACGCGACAGGCTGGGCATTCGAAAAATTTGAAAAGGCATGAACAACAGCCCAAGCAAACTCGATCAGAATTAGGTGGCATGCCCATAGTCAGTGTAGCACAAATCGAGTCACTGGCGGACAACCCTACATGTTTCGTCCGGTCACCAGAGCCGGACTCATCAGGGGTCTACGTCGCGTAAGATAACAAACGGTACAATCGAGTACGTCATCCCCGAAACTGCAGGTCAATGGCGGTCCGCCATTCCCAAGGCGCAACCCCTATTCTCAGGCCGCCAACCCACCAGGAGACCCGACTGAATTTTTTTTTTCCAGCCAACGCGTCCAACCTAGACCCGCCAAAAAAGGTCTCGACCCTCACTCAGTCGTCAGAATTTGTGAAACGAGCCTGCCCCTGCACCACAACACAAGGCACTGTACCCTCAGACAGGACCTGGCTGAAAACTGCTCCATCCTGTCAGACATTCGACCGAAGTACGCCAGAGACCCCCCGAGAAGTTCCTCAAAACACAGTCAAAGAACCCTGTGCACCTACACCACAACACCAGGCACCGTATCCTCAGACAAGACCTGGCAGAAAACTGCTCCATTCTGTCAGACATTCGACCCAAGTACGCCAGAGACCCCCAAATTTGTTCGAGAAGTTCCTCAAAACACCGTCAAAAAACTCATCCTTAAACCCTCGTAGTCTCAGCTCCACCTTAAGAGCAAACAAAAAACTCAGCTCCGCTCCTGGCATGTCGGTAAACCTCCTAGCTCTTCCCACTACGGCCATTTTTTGCTGCTTGTGATTCAGGGGCTACTCGCAGTTATATTAGCCGTAGAGCGCTAAAGAAGTGAAGGCTAGGGTTGAAAGTCCAAAAGTTGGAAGACCCCATAGTTAGTGTCCTCGCAGACAACCGCATTATGCGTGTTGAGGACTACGTAGAGGGAGTCAAGGTTTATTTCCGCCTAGAGAAAGATGGGAAAGTGGAGAGAGTTCCCCATTCCCTGACTCTCCTCGTACAAGATGACCTTCCGTTTGATGTAGTCCTAGGTATGGACTGGGGAGAGGCAGCCGGGGCCACACTCTATTTGAGAGAGCATGAGTGTAGGCTCCCTAGTCCGTCAGGCGAGGTTAAGACGACCCGCCTGTTTCATGTGTCAGGAGTAGACAACTCACTGGCACATTGTTGTCTCAGTGCTCCCGCGTTCACGCGATTAGTGAGAAAGGAGCAGTTAGATGATCAGGTCTTCGTAGCTTATATCAGACCTGTCACTGAGCCTAAGGAGGACACACCCATGAATCCAACCATCGCCAAGCTGCTGGAGGAGTTCAAAGACTTAACCGCGCTGCCAAGAGGAGTAGTACCGCAACCGATCTAGCACCGGATAAAAATAGAGCCTGGCCGTAGAACTCCTAAGGGAGCAGTCTACAGGATGTCCCCAA